CAACGGTTTTTTTTTTTTTTAATGGATTTATTCAAGAAAAAATAAAAGAAGTTCAGTGTCTGTAGACGAATAAGAAAATATAAATTAGGACAACATACTGGTTTATGTGATCCCGAACTCCGAAAGCTATCCATAATCTTCCTCGACAAACTTGCTTGCAAAGAATGCTTTTTCGATGACGAGGATAGAATACGCAGACTAGGTTTCAAAAAATCCTGGCGCTCATATTTAGCCCTGAAAAATACCAGCAATAACTATATAATTTATTAAAATTAAAACATTGCATGTCTACTGCAAATAGTTGTGGAACTCTATTTATTACCGGACCTGATAAATTTCGAACGTTCTTCATGGCTAGCTTCTGGTCTGGGCTTAGACACCCCTTCAGGAATATAAGCCTCGTAAATAGAATTTGCAGAAGCATTTCCCCCTACTTCAATCATCGAATCAACTTCGCCATCCGACCATTCATCTAACGTCACAGATAAAACCTGCGGAGTAGAGAAAAATAAAATAAAATAAAAACAGTAAACACAACTAATAAACGAGCTTCAAAAGAGAAAAAAAAAAAAAAAAATAGGGCATTAAGAGATTTATTACCTTTGAAATATGTGTACCGAGGCTTCTGTGAACACCACAGCACTTTAAGCATATAAATACTCCAATATTTGCCGAACTGCAGAAGGCAAAAAAATTTGATCAAGCAACGAGCGAACAGCAAATATATTTTCAAGCCTCGAAAATGCTAAAGATCAATGCACATGTTCATACGTTATGTTAGTCAACCATAGACAAATTAGTGAAGGAACTACAACTAATACGCGCTACTTCGCTTTTTTTTTTTTTTTTTATCTGCAAAAGGGAGAAAATAAAGCCAAGATATTGATTCATAATCTAGGAAGACAATAGCTGATTTTTCCCGTTTAACAGTCGAACATTTTATAATCTACCTAAATAAGGAAAGCAATAAAGAGAGGAGAAAATACGGAGAAACTTACGCCCATTTTGGGTCTGGAGCACCACAATCTGCACACACACGATTATCACGTTGAGCCAAAAGATCTTTCAATCTTCTTTTACCTGTACAGGTTTTGAAAGCCAGCACGAATAACAGAAGACGATAATAAATAACGGTCCAACAGAACAATACTGTTATATTCATGTGCTACAGAATAATATAACCAGCGACTTCAAGCTACCATTAGTAACAGCGAAAAAAACAAACTTACAGCAAAATAATGCATACAGAAATTGAAAACCACATGGAATCACCATCTATTTTATCCATTGCAATGGAGCTGGAAGAGTCATTGTTGACAATTCGCTTGGCATAGTGCTAATAATAGACTAGATCAAAATGGCTCAATTAAATTCTAGTGCTTCTTCTATTAGTGAAGTTTCTAGAAAAAAAAAATATATCAAACAACGCAATGCACCTTGGGTCGCTACGGAAACAGCCTCCTTGTATAATTACAAGGGTAAGGTCTGCGTACAACTGACCCCCAGACCCCAACCAGTTGGGAATATACTGGGTATGTTGATGGAATCACCATCTATAGTTTTTCATTGATTACAAACAATAAAACAGTTTTCAGCTTTCTACTTCAACTTTTTTTTCCCCCTAAAAATCAAATCCTCTCACAATAAAAGGAATAAGAACGGTAAAAACAGACAAATGGGTCTTATTATATTAGCTCAAAATATATAATCAGGATTCTAAAACCGCAAAACTGGACGATTTTCCTCGAAAATCAAATCATACCCGAAGATGGTCTTCCTAAGGCAGCTGGATTGATGCTCATTGTTTTGTTTACAGAATCATTCAACAAACCCAGTCCTTAATAACAATTAAAACCTGCAAATTTATCCTCCCATCAGTAAACCCAATTCACAAGACCATTCCAATTAAAGTTGAGAGACACAACACTATATAAACCTCCAAACAACACCTTAACTTCCCAAATTACACTCAATTAGGTCGTGTAATTACACCCAAAACAGAAGAAATTAAAAGCAGAAAAATATAAATAAAAATGAAATCTTTACGAAAAATCCGTGTTGATGAAATTCAAGAAAAACGAGCAAGACCCAATAATAAAATGGAAAAAAAAAGAGTAAAATAAAAAAGGGATATTGAAAAAAGCATCCATTTTTGCAGGATGAAAAAGGTTAAATCGCCACCTAAGAAGAAAATGAAGATGGAGAAGCTTCGATGCATAATACGATTGACAGAATCAAAAGCTCGTGGCATCAATTTTAGGATAGCTCAAAAAATAATAAAATTGTGAAGGAAGAAAATGAATAAAGATCTGAGAAATTGCTCGAGCCCTTTACCTAATTTCAATGGAATCAAAAAATCGAATTGTGAAAATGTAGGAGAAGCCCCATTTTTGTCAACAAAGATAATTATTTAGATATGACGATGAAGAGAAGACAAAGTCTGGGCGGCTGGGCCGTTTTATATGATCTGAATGAATATTTGATACCAGCGACAAAGACAAAACTGTTCTTGCTGTAATTAATTGTTATTTCTTGCTTATTCTACTTTCACTAAATACTAGTACAACACCCGTGTATTACACGGGTGCTTGTTAAAAAATTATTCTTAAATTTTAAAATTAATGAGAAAACTATATTAAATTTAGTTTACTTTTTTACAAAA